TTAATTTATTATATTTTTTTTTTTTTTTTTTTTTTTTTTTTTAATTAATGCACTCAACTCGAACTACAAATTCATCGTACGTGTCATTAAATGTTAGATTCAATTAAACGTAGAAGATGGAACAAAAAAGTATACGTCCATACGTACACTATAAATTAATGAGTCGAGATTTGCTATTCTTAGGGGCCTGTTTGGGAGTTTTTTCATCGATTTTGAATTGCACCATTTATAAAGGGTTGTAAAAAAATTATCATTTGTCAGCCTTTTTGAGTATCGATTTTGGATGATTTAAAACTCATAATACACTATAAATGATTGTCCTCATTCAGATTTTGACATTTAACTATGCTTCTGTTTGGCCCCCATTAAATTACATTCTATTTTTCTCTCTTATTTTCAACCACACAATCTTCCATAAAATAATATTATACGTAAATTAAAAAATTTTCCTTCTTTTTTAACCATTGATTTTTTTCAACAAAACATTATTTCTTTCATTTTCATTATAAAAAATGGGGATCAAACGGGGCTATATCGTCTTGAAATAGTGAATAATAACACGTTGTTTTAAATATGATATCCCTTGTCTCGTATTGTCTAATTTGTTGCTATTCTCTATTTGAATAAGAAACATTGTTTTAGTACTTATCCAAATTTTAAAGAAAGAAAATGTTATTTTAAAGAAAATTTCAAATATTCAAAGAAGAGCAGTTTTTATAAAGTCAATAATTTGGGTTCAAATCTTATTGGGGAATTAGGGTGAAATTTCAAAAGACAAACATAAAAATACAACCCCAACCGTTTCACACTCCGGGATCATCTATCATCTTTACATTTAAAATAAATAAATAAATAAATAAAAATCAAATAAACTCCAAAAAAATTGGTTCAGCCTGTATTTTACATTTAGCTCCTATTTGGTTCAACTAAAAAATTGGATTATAAATTTAAATAATTAATTTTAATCATATATTTCATAAGGTTCGCAATTTTTTAATCACACATTTCATCAACCCTTACTAAGAGATACTAAAATTTTGCTTCTATCTAAATCCAGCAAGGGCGTTCTCCAATTTCAATTGTAGATCACGTGAATAGTGTTTTTTTTTTTTTTTTGGTCAATGGCTACGAAGAAAAATGAAGCATCTTATGTCCTTTTAAGTTCATGGTTAATACGAATTTTTTAAATTTACTTTTGTATAAATTCAATTTCAAGGACATATTTTCTCAATAAAATAATTTTATACGTTGATCCGTAAATTTTTCTTACTTTTTAACAACGTATTCCTTAAAAAATATTTTTAATAAATTCAACATCAAATATAAGCAAAGACAAAAGTCTTTATACTTATGGGACACAATATTTAAATGGCACGACTATTGCGCCATGTTAACTTTATGTTATTTCACTCTGTATTGTTAAATTTAATATGAACAATATTACACCATTGATTTGACAATTGATAACAACTTTACCACATATTGTAAAAAAAAAAAAAAGGAAAAGTCTACTTATAAATAATTTTTGTACATAGGGTATCCTCACTCCTCACATGGGATGAGCATAGCCCTTAAAAATATTACTTAAAAACATTTACCCAAATTTGTTCGCAGCTCACCATACGTTTTTTTTTGCATATTATGTTCATTTTTCATATAAATTAAAATCTAAATTTTTATTATAGTTAAAGTCAATAATGAAATTTAATCACATATTTTATGGAACTGACGACTTGTCAATCATACATTTCATCAATTTTTATCAAAATTTATTAAAAATCTGATTTTAATCTTCACTAAACAAGGGCTATGTAATTATATTTTATCATTATTTTTTTGAATCAAATTTATTATAGAAAACTTTTGACATTTAAAATTGATTAATATACAATGTTCAAACTATCAATTTTTATTATATTAAAATTTTTTGAATCAAATTTATTATAGAAAACTTTTGACATTTAAAATTGTATAATATCTTTGCTTCTCTCTCTAGAAAATGGTTATCCTTGACTAGTCATTGCTCATAATAGCAATGCATACATATATTGGAAGCTTCCTAAGTTAATGATTTTTATACAGTTTGGCTTTTGACATTTTACATTATTGATAGAATATCTAAGAAAATATAGATTTGACTTGTGAATTAAAAAAGGTATCTAATATAGGAAAAGTTGCAAAATATACCATCTATATAGAGTTTATTCACACTTTACAAACCGTAGTTTTAAATTTGTATCTTGCTTACTACTATTCTTTATTAAATGATAACGAAAGTTACATTTTGTTGAAAAAATTACAAACATATCATTATAAAATACAAATTGTTAAAATACAAAAATGATCCAATTTCAGAATAACGAGTCCCGTCATCTAAATTACATAGCATTTTCTATTTTTAAATATTCTTTTTCATCTAGGAAAAATACATTTTACAAACATCAAGATTTCTAGTAATTAAATTTTGAAGAATAAAAAAATTAAAGATAAAGTATATAAATTGTTACATAATTAATGTATATATATACGATATTGTTATAAAACTGATTTTTATTTAAAACAAATTTTTATTTATTAAAAAAATTTACTATCAAAATATTTTTAAAAAATAAAATGATGTATCTATGATTGCTCATATTTCATTCTTAAAATGACTGTCAAATAATATAACAATATCGTATCATTGTACCTAAGGAAAATGAGTTTTGTAATTTTTTTTGTAATTTTTCAATTTTTTTATAATGCATAGTTAAAAATTTGGTGAAATATCAATCTTGTCAATCAAGATACATAATTAATGTATATATATACGATATTGTTATAAAACTGATTTTTATTTAAAACAAATTTTTATTTATTAAAAAAATTTACTATCAAAATATTTTTAAAAAATAAAATGATGTATCTATGATTGCTCATATTTCATTCTTAAAATGACTGTCAAATAATATAACAATATCGTATCATTGTACCTAAGGAAAATGAGTTTTGTAATATATATATATATATATATATATATATATATATATATATATATATTTATATAAAATGCTTATTTAAAAAAAATATGGAAAATTTTTGTGTTTATATACTGAAAGAATATTTGGTTGAAAATGAATTTAACTTGAGTCTCAATTTATTGATAATGAAATTCCTCACATCAATAAATTAAAAGGACACAAGAATCAATATTCACAAGTTCCTCCTTATTATCCACAACATAGTTCTC